TTCCTGAAGGGTAGAAATTGTATCTCATTTACTGCAGTTTCCCCAGAGCCAGTCTAGTCCCTGGAACACAGGAGCTGGGCAACATTTTTTTTGGGGGGGGCAACATTTTTTTGTTGAGTGAATGAAAATAGACAAGCTCCCTACTCCAAAGACCAGGACCTCCAATTTAACGACCACAAGAAAAGGATCAATAAGCTGCTGGAGCAGATTCTAATGGTATATAGTCTCCCAAATTTCCCCTAGCAACTGAACACATTTAGAAACCATATTCATGCCTAGGCTTACAGGCAACTCAGAAGTCCCAGGAACATCTCTCACCTCATTTCACGAGCTGACCCTTTCATTTTTAAGAGGCTGGAACTCAGAGGTGCTTCTTAGTGGGTGGGCAAGCTTGCACAGATGTCTGCAAGCCTCCTTTCCTTCAGCAAGCACTAGAATAGCTCCATTAGTGTTCATGGAAATTCTGCACATGCACCAAGGAGAAAACAGCCACAAATAACATAGTCTGCCTTCCAAATCTCCAAAGCACATCTCTGTAAATCATTGTAGTTTCCAACTATCACCACTGAAGCCTTTCAGCCAGAGAGCAATTTGTCTTCAACTTACTCTGGGTTCCTAAGTTAACAGAACCTTTTGGTTGTTTAAAAATGAAGCTTCCCACTTCCAGTCTCTCTGCCTGCTACAGCTTCTCTTCTACACAGCCCCTTAACCAGAAACTAAGCGCATAGTTCCTGCATGGAATCAGTCCAAACGCCTTCGCCTAGGGCTCAAAAGGCCCTTCAAATTTGATCCTGGTCATCCAGGGTCTGAAACTTGGGGGACACGGATGGGCTGAAGATACAAACTGGAGTTGTCATCAGCATGTAAAAGATGCCTGAAACCACAAGACTGGATGAAATCAACCTGGGAGGCTATATACAGGCAAATAGACCTGTTTTGTTTTTTTTTTTTAACATCTTTATTGGAGTATAATTGCTTTACAATGTTGTGTTAGTTTCTGCTGTATAACAAAGTATAACAAATTGTTTGTATAACAAACAATTAATTAATTTTTGGCTGCTATATGTATATGTAAATCCCCATATCCCCTCCCTCTTGCGTCTCCCTCCCACCCTCCCTATCCCACCCCTCTAGGTGGTCACAAAGCACTGAGCTGATCTCCCTGTGCCATGCAGCTGCTTCCCACTAGCTATCTATTTTACATTTGGTAGTTTATATATGTCCATGCCACTTTCTCACTTCATCCCAGCTTACTCTTCCCCCTCCCCATGTCCTCTTTATTCCTGTCCTGCCCCTAGGTTCTTCAGAACCTTTTTTTTAGATTCCATATATATGTGTTAGCACACGGTATTTGTTTTTCTCTTTCTGACTTACTTCACTCCGTATGACAGACTCTAGGTCCATCCACCTCACTACAAATAACTCAATTTCATTTCTTTTTATGGCTGAGTAATGTTCCATTGTATATATGAGCCACATCTTCTTTATCCATTCATCTGTCGATGGACACTTAGGTTGCTTCCATGTCCTGGCTATTGTAAATAGAGCTGCAATGAACATTGTGGTACATGACTCTTTTTGAATTATGGTTTTCTCAGGGTATATGCCCAGTAGTGGGATTGCTGGGTCATATGGTAGTTCTATCTTTAATTTTTTAAGGAACCTCCATACTGTTTTCCATAGTGGTTGTATCAATGTACATTCCCACCAACAGTGTAGGAGGGTTCCCTTTTCACCACACCCTTTCCAGCATTTATTGTTTCTAGCTTTTTTGATAATAGTTATTCTGACTGGCGTGAGGTGATACCTCAATGCAGTTTTTTTTTTTTAACATCTTTATTGGAGTATAACTGCTTTACAATGGTGTGTTAGTTTCTGCTTTGTAACAAAGTGAATCGGCTATATATATACATATATCTCCATATCTCCTCCCTCTTGTGTCTTCCTCCCTCCCTCCCTCCCTATCCCACCCCTCTAGGTGGTCACAAAGCACAGAGCTGATCTCCCTGTGCCATGCGGCTGCTTCCCACTAGCTTTTCTATTTTACGTTTGGTAGTGTATATATGTCCATGCCACTCTCACTTTGTCCCAGCTTACCCTTCCCCCTCCCCGTATCCTCAAGTCCATTCTCTAGTAGGTCTGCATCTTTATTCCTGTCTTGCCCCTAGGTTCTTCTGACATTTTTTTTTTTTTTTTAGATTCCATATACATGTGTTAGCATACGGTATTTGTTTTTCTCTTTCTGACTTACTTCACTCTGTATGACAGTCTCTAGGTCCATCCACCTCACTACAAAAAGAAATGGATTAAAGACCTAAATGTAAGGCCAGACACCATCAAACTCTTAGAGGAAAACATAGGCAGAACATTCTATGACATAAATCACAGCAAGATCCTTTTTGACCCACCTCCTAGAGAAATGGAAATAAAAACAAAAATAAACACATGGGACCTAGTGAAACCTCATTGTAGTTTTGATTTGCATTTCTCTAATGATTAGTGATGTTGAGCATAGACCTGGGTTTTGAATCTTAGATCTTCTATTCACTATCCGTGTGACCTTGAGTAAGTTACTAAACCACTGTTGAGCCTCAATTTTCTCACCTTTAATTGGGTATTTTTAAAAATGTCTAGCACAGTGCTGAGCAATCATTATTCCAGCTCCCATAGTCACTAGCAGTGGGAAACTGAACAAGGTACTTCTGCTTGGTGAGCCTCAGGGTCTCATCTGTAGCTCCTGCCAGGTATCCACAAGGCCTCATGGAATGGGTACTCAGCAAATGGTTGCTGAATAAAAGAAGAAATCTAAAAAACTGAAACAATACCTACTAATACAACGAGATGATTCAACAGGATTTTTAAAAAACTATATAAAGATCAATGTAAATGCTAACAAATTATCTTAGAAAAAGTATCTAGCACCTAGAAGGTAGACAATGTTAGTTCCTTTCTTTCTGTCCTTGCTTCTTTTTTTAAATTTCTCTAAAATAAATCTCTGATAAGCTTAATCCATTAAAAGAACAAAAATATAAACATAAATACACACAAAATCATACAAGTATATTCAACATCATTACATTGGCAGATTTCATCTTGATACACTTTTTTCTTCCCCAACTCCTACCTCCTCTCATGCCATCTTCTGACTCCCCTCTCCTCCCTAAGGCAGCCAATGGAAATGACCTGATATATATCGTTTCATACATTTCTCTGTGTTCATATAATCCTGTACAAAGACATACATTCATATATAGGATTTTTTTGTTTCCTTTTTATGAAACTGGGTTCTTATTAAAGACATTTCTCTATAAATTTCTTTTTTTTTTTTCACTTAACAATACATCTTGGTCAACCCTTCAGGTCAATGGATACAGCAGTCATTCATTCTTTTTTAAAATTAATTAATTAATTAATTTTTGGCTGCGTTGGGTCTTCGTTGCTGCGCGCAGTCTTTCTCTAGTTGTGGCGAGCGGGGGCTACTCTTTGTTGCAGTGCGCGGGCTTATTGCAGTGGCTTCTCTTGTTGCAGAGCATGGGCTCTAGGCACGCAGGCTTCAGTAGTTGTGGCACGTGGGCCCAGTTGCTCTGCGGCGTGTGGGATTTTCCTCAGACCAGGGATCGAACCCGTGTCCCCTGCATTGGCAGGTGGATTCTTATCCACTGCGCCACCAGGTAAGTCCCATTCTTTTTAATGACTACTCATTGTCAGTCTTCCCCACACACAAATAATGCTGCACAAAACATCCTTGTATGTATTACTTTAGGAAAACTTTCTGCTGGGCCAATGTACATATATGTTTAAATATTTGTAAATATCGGCAGATTATTTTCCAAGAAGGGTGTGGTAATTCATATTCCCACCATCAGTGTATAAAAGTGACCATTTCCCCACATCTTCACCAGAAGTTGGCATTTTATTTTTTAACATCTTTATTGGAGTATAATTGCTTTACAATGTTGTGTTAGTTTTTGCTGTATAATAAAGTGAATCAGCTATATGTATACATATATCTCCATATCCCCTCCCTCTTGCATCTCCCTCCCACCCTCCCTATCCCACCCCTCTAGGTGGCCACAAAGCACCGAGCTGATCTCCCTGTGCTATGCAGCTGCTTCCCACTAGCTATCTATTTTACATTTGGTAGTGTATATACTATGACATATATACTATGTCAGTGCTACTCTCTCACTTCATCCCAGCTTACCCTTCCCCCTCCCTGTGTCCTAATTTAAAATGTTTTCCAGTTTTATCGGTGAAAAATGGCATTGTATTATTGCTTTATTTTGCATTTTCTTGAATATTTTTGAGGTTAAGCATCATTTTTCTTTTTTTTAATATTTATTTGGTTGCACCAGGTCTTGCGGCAGGCAGGCTCCTTAGTTGCGGCTCACTGGCTCCTTAGTTGTGGCATGTGAACTCTTAGTTGCAGCATGCATGTGGGACCTAGTTCTCTGACCAGGGCTTAAACCCAGGCCCCCTGCATTGGGAGAGCGGAGTCTTACCCACTGTGCCACCAGAGAAGTTCCTAAGCATCATTTCTTGTTTATTGGTCATTTGGGGTAAAAATCTGTGATGTATGCAACTTACTGTCAAAAGAGTGTCAGAAAAAAGCTGAGTGTGTGTGTGAGTGTGAGAGAGAGGGTGTCCTTCCTTTTTAATCCATCTCTTCTTTTTCTGAATTTTAAATCTCTCCCCCTTTTTTTTTTTCTGGCCGCGCTGCGAGGTTTGCAGGATCTTAGTTCCCCGACCAGGGATCGAACCCGGGCCCCCAGCAGTGGAAGCACAGAGTCCTAACCACTGGACTGCCAGAGAATTCCCTAAATCTCTCCCTTTCTACTGGCTCCTTCTTTTCAGATTACAAACATGCTCCAGTCTCCCCTAACCTAAAAAACCTTCTTTGGGTCTTGCTATCTCCCTCAGATTCCTGTCCAATCATTCTTTATTTTCACCAACTATACTCTTTCTCAACCCAAAACACTTTTCAGTGAACAAGCCATACCTTTGGTTTTAGGGACAAAAAATCCCCAGTTTATTATTACTTTTTAAAAAAAGCAAATATCACTTACATAATTGTTCAAGCAAGTCTATATACGGGTATTTCATTTGAAAATACATATGTATATAATTTTTCTCCTACAGTAATTCATTTCAAGAGCAATTTCATTATGTATCTTCTACAGAGCCCTAAACCGAGAGAGCCAACATATTCAAATAAACCCCAAGGTGTGGGGATGCTTCAGGACAGTTCCTCATTAGAAGCCTCAGCATGGGGGCTCTGGAGACCAACGCAGGTCTTCCAGGGAGAGCTGAAACGTTCAGATAAGTGAGTTCTGGAAAGAAGGGGTAGTTGGCGGGCTCTGACAGGCTCACCCCTGGGGTAGAGCAAAGAGTACAGACAGGGGAGTTCTGAGAGGCACTGGAGCTATCTAAACTCAGGGGGATGGAACTGAGTGAGCAGCTGTGGTAATTGAGTTTCAGTTACCTGCAGGGTGGCAAAATAAAGTAGTAACTTCATCTGCCTGACACGGAGGAAGTTTAGAGGTGTCCCTGGCATATTCACAGTGGAACTCGTCACCCTTTCACTGTGTGGGGTGATGGCAACCGTACTGCGCTTCCTAGCGCCAGCAAGCGCACATCCTGTTAGGCAGCACCAGCGCACTCCAGCTAATGAAGCATTTCCTGCAGGTCTGTCTCCCAGGGCTCTCTGTATCCTCTGTCTGAAGGAATGGCACCATGGGAAAATTCAGCACCGCCAGCATCAGCCATCGCCCAAACTCAAAAGAGTCTTTGAATGGCAGAGAAAGGCCCATTTTCCTTTCTGCCCAGCCCAGGGTTGGAACCATCCTCAGGTCATTTTTTGTGGGTCTGTACAAACGTGCCGACTGGCAGCGTGCCGTTCTTCACCTGAGCCCGGATTTCAGCTCGATGCTTTAATGTGAAGACCAGGGCTCTCACTGTCCGCCGGTATGGCCCATTAATGAGGCGGGAGCAGAGATGAAACGTTTCCCGTTCAATATTTTCAACCAGTAGGTGATCCATCTGAAAAAACAGCAAAATTATCAAATTAGGGCCTTGCATTGCATAAGGATTAAAAGCGAGAGAGGCTGGGGCACTTTGCTCAGAGGCCTCCATTAATCAACTGAAATTCAAAGACATCTACTTCCTGTCACAAAAGAAACAGGAAGAGCAAATTAATTCCACCCTGGCAATTAAGGAACAAGGCCATGTGCTTTGTGACAGGGACCTCATTCACAACCCCTGCCGGGTGGTAATATTTGCCATTATAACAGGAAACTGGCTTGAACCAAGCAATGGGTTCTGGGCCCTGGGCCCTGTACTTTACCAACCAGGAAACGAAGACCAAGGATAATAAATCAGTATAACAGTTTATGCTTTTTTTGTTGTTTGTTTGTTTTTAAAGTGACTTTTAACCCCTTACAGCATTTTAAAAACAATGGGTCTGGATCCTAATATGTGTGTAAAGCAGTTTATAAATCACTTTTCACATTTACTGCTCACAACTCCTATTATCTCATTTTATAGATGAGGAAACAGGTTCAAAGGTAAAGGAATGCTCCAGATCTTACAACTATTAAGAGGCAGAGTTGGGACTCTAACTCGGAGCCCCCAACTCCAACACCCATGTTTCTTCCCTTTCACCATACTCACTGCCCCCTTAACCTTCTGACAGACCAGCTGAGTCTGGAGAGACCTCTGCAGGGTCAGCTAAGCAGAAAGTGGCCTAGAGGATAGGACCTGTGGCAATTCTGGGGTGGTCTGGCTCAGGCCCAAGCCCTCCTGAAGTCACAGGCCTAATGAAAGCAGGACAGGTCTGAGACTTTTGCCCACATGATCTGGATCCAGGCCAGACCGGGTTGCTGGTCAGAGACCCCCTCACTTCGTTCCTTTCCAGGTGCATCGCTCACTATTCGCCTCCCTGGTCCTGACCCTGGCCCAGCCTGAACAACCTCAGCTGCTTTTACACACCTCTACGCCCGTGCGCAGGTACACGTTTCCTCAGCAAGGCGCAATTTCCCTAGGAAACTCATTCCTATTTGTATGTCAAAGCTTAGCTAAAAAACAAAAAGCAAAAAAGCAAATCCTAGTTTAAAGGACTGAAAGTTCCCCTTGGGGCTGCCACAGTGTCCCGAGCTTCCCTTAGTCATTTTCATAACATATTATAATGATCTATTTTTTTGAGTTTGTCTTCCCTGAGAGTGAGTTCCTTGAAAACAGGAAACAAATTTCTCTCACTTGCTTTTTTCCCTTCAACTCTTTCCCTCCCCACCCTACCACACATTCAAATACTTACTCAGCACTATGTGCCTGGGCTGAGGAAAGAGCAGTGAACAAGGTCAACACAGCTCTTGACTCCACAGAGAGCACTGGTTGGCTGGAGACAGATAGAAGCAGGGACTGCAAGTGTACCGAGGGCTGGGAAAGAGGATATGAGCGAGTTCTGGGGCACAGAGCTACAGCAAAGGGACCCAACCCAGGAGGGCAGCTCCTGGCCTCAGGAGGGAATGGCACTTGACGTGAGACCTGGAGAATGACAAGGATCAGGCCAGGTGAGGTGGGCACTTGCTTGGTGATGAATTCAGTGAGTTGTACATATATCTTTTGTGTGCTTTTCCATATATGTACTATACTTATATTTTATTTTATTATTTTTTTTAATTTATTTATTGTTTTTTTGCGGTACGCGGGCCTCTCACTGTTGTGGCCTCTCCCGTTGCGGAGCACAGGCTCCGGACGTGCAGGCTCAGCGGCCATGGCTCACGGGCCCAGCTGCTCCGCGACAGGTGGGATCCTCCTGGACTGGGGCACGAACCCGTGTCCCCTGCATCGGCAGGCAGACTCTCAACCACTGCGCCACCAGGGAAGCCCTATACATATATTTTAAAAAGGAAAAGTTTAAGGAAAAAATGCACCAAAATAAAAAAAGGATCACCGGACATTTGATAAGTGTCCTAACAAAAGAGAGAGACCAGCAGACCAAAATGAATATAATAAAGAAACCTGGAAGAAATGAGGACCACGCAGGAAACAGAACAGGACTGAGAGAGAGAGAGAAAGAGAAAGGGAGAGAGAGAATGAATATCCAGGTCCAGACATCTGCCTAGGTGTAACAGACAAAAGGTGTTCAGGGAAGTTTGGGGTCCTGATGACTGACTGATTATCTCCAAGGCTGGTGCTGGAGTGAGTGGACGTGGTGCCATGGCTCTCCAGAACCTAGACTCCTTGAGCTTTTCATGGCCTCCTGGGTGGGCACTGAACTAGCCCCCAGCCTGAGGCAGCCCGGGTACCAGACTACTTTACAACGCTATAAGGGTGGCTGGCCGTCTGCCCAGCATTTGTCCAGCAACATTTGCAAAAGAGGCTCCTCACCCCAATGAGGGTTCCTCGTCCCAGTGTGAGGATGGTTAGTCACTGACTGTTTAGAGATTCACTTAATACGACAGGCAAGAAAAAAGGCTCTTTTTTTTAAATTTTTTCTTTTTTTGAGGGGAGTGGTTGTTAGGGGAAGAAGGGTATGTGTACATTTGCAAAAATAAGTCATGGCCATTCCATCAAACTGTAGTATATATAAAAAAGAACCTTGAGAGTGCCTTGAAATTCACAGAACTGGATACTTATTCATACTTCATTCAGCAAATAGTTATTGAGTCGCTACTCTGAGTATGGTCTGATCTAGGTATTAGAGATACCCAAGCAGAAAACACCTGACCCCCTACCCTCTAAGAAGTCACAGCCTAGAAAGGAGAGGCATGTACACAGAAAACCAAGGGGCAGCAGGATAGGTGCTATACCAGCAATGTGATGGGAATAAGAAGCAAGTAGCTAGCAATTCTCATGCATGCTTCTTGTTAAATGAAGGCCAATCGGAATGAAGAAATGAAGAAAAACATTTGTAATATTAAAATGTAAATCATAAGGGAAAATGATTCATCATGCATCCTTGTGTATAACATGTTCATTGAACAAAGTGAAGAATGCCTACCTTATAACTGCCTTTGGATAATCCAAACCTACCCAAGTTGAGAGTCCTTCCCAATGGGTCCTAATCTGGTAATTTAGGTAAGCCCTTTTGGGTGAAAGGACCAGAGTCTTACTGAGACTTTGAGAAAAAGGGGTTTTACTATGAGATACATGTGTATGAATGGGAACAAGAATGCTGTAAGAAACCTAGGGATTTATTTACGGACCATATCCTTTCTCTGTGTCTCTCATGATTTGCCTGGTCTCTTTTTCAAATGTTTTTCCTCCTCTCCATTTGCCTTACTATCAATTCTAACTGCCTTATTCTCTCCCCCTTTCCTACACATCTCTACCCATAGCTTCTGCTTCCTCATAACTCCTCCAATATCTCTTCTGTTTCAAAACTCCCACTGTTGCTTCTTGGTATTTCCCAGTTCAGTTTCCCAGAGACAGAGAATCTGATTTGCCTTCCTTATCTATTTGTACCTGTGAGTTGAGTATGTGTTATTCAGTTGTCCAGTCCTGGACAAACTGGCAATTGCTGGGTGAAGATATAAAACACATCCACCCAGAGCTGTCTTTTGTCAAGGATTCTGGACTCAGAAGAAATGCTGCCATAATCAATTAGTGATGTCTGCCACATCTGTTAAGCTCTTTAAAAACAAGGGAAGAAGCTCTTCTTCATGTGTATACCTTAAGTGCAGAACTTCCCACACTGTATTGTGACTATTCATTTGCCTACTTCCCTCAGAGACTGTGAGCCCCTCCAGGGCTGGTACCATTTTGGATGCACTTCTAAGTTCCCCATGCCTAGTAGCATAGGTACTGGCACATATTAAGTGCTCAGTAAATATCTGTGAAATGAATTTCCTCTTTCCCCATGTATACCTCCCTCCTTTTCTGCTCTTTTAGTAACATCCTATACATAGCACATGAAATATGTTTCTATTTTATATGTATTTTCTAGTTAGCAAAATCCAACCACTCTTACAAAGGCCAGTTCAAGTGCTGTCTTTTTCATGAAAGCTTCCCAGATTTCCCCATCAGATTTCATTGTTCTGTCCTTTGTGTGTTTATACCACTTGCTAGTAACACTATTTCAGACATATTTCATCCTGCCTCGTATTTAGTCAGTCATTTACAGGCTCTTAGTCAGGAGACAATAAGCTTTCTTAGGATAAGGACTGCAACTCATTCATGTTTGCATTCTCCTCTGGCACTAGTAGTAGTAGAACTAAACATCTGGTGAGCTGAATACCCACTAGAAGCAAACTTTGTATGAGTTTTCCAATAGCATGATTGGATTTGTACATATATACCCACACTCCTTTTTGACCACTTGAATACATTTATTAAAGAGCTGGTCAAAGCCAGAGGTACAGTCTGAGGCCATTAAACAAAGAAAAAACTAACAGTCCCATATGGGGATGTACCCCTGACCTGGATCTCATTAGCACCATCTGACAACCAACTGGGCCAACCAGCCAGTGTTTCATAACTCTTAACGATAACAGGCTCACTTTGAGAATCAGATTCATTTTTTTAAAATGACATAATAGGAAAATGATCACAGGCCGTGAGGTAGGAAGGAGAGTGGATAATGAGGAAGGGGAAGTAAGAGAATGACACCACAGGGGACGTTCATATGAGGAAAGATCTAAAAGACGGGGAAGAACAAAGAAGATCTGGAAGGGAGAAAGTAAAGGGGAATGGAGTGTGGGTCTCAACAATGGAGATTTTATTCATCTATTCCTTTATTCCAAGAACAAGGAAACAATCCATGAATCTGGAAAGCAAGATGTGTAGAGTAATAAAGAGATGCACTTTTGGGCTGTGTGTGTATATTCTTTATCTGTGGCTTTCACTACTAAAGGATAAGACCAAACAAATAACATAGAAACGTTATTTTCTATAAAAATGTAATGAGTGGATTTGAAAAAACACATGCTAAGATCAAATTGCAAAAGCTTTTTAGTTATTAGGCCAATAACTTATCCAATGGTTTACTACTGCCTGATATAGTACATTTATGGAGATCGGATGTCTGATTTGAATGCACTCAACACTGGTTACTGTCAAAGACCAGATACTGGATTAGATGGTGCTCACCGATCTGCCCTAATATGAAAATGTTTCATATGATGATGGGTGCTAAGAGTTAACTTTATGTAAAAAGTGTTTGTATTTATATTTTCTGACATACCAAACTGATAAAAAAATACTATAAAATGTTGTTTATGCAGGGAAAACAGATTGATTTTCTTCGGCCAAGGAAGATGGCTAAGATGCACACTTTTAATTTTTAATATTTACTCTTTGGGAACAAAACCATTCAACTATGCTTAATCTGATATTTTTTCCAATTACACTGGAAAGCACTAACGAATGTATCACTTTTTAAACTTTGCTTTGTAACACTTGAGTGCTTACCACTTGATGTGCCAGTTAAAGGATAATTAATGGATAAACTAAAAGGATAATTATTATTGAGTTTAATATAGCAGGCAAACTGCTCATTAATCCTTACAAGCATAGCTTCATTATTATCATTTACTTAAAAAGATACCACAGGGAACTGGTATTTACCACCACATTAACTACATATTATATACCCACACTCTATGTTTCTGCAATAATTTTGGTTTATTTTAAAAATAAACTTCTTTTAAAACATCAAATAGCGAGTCTTGTTGGCTAATCGATACTCCAGAAAATTAGACTTACAACCTTCCTATTTTTTTTCTCTCTTCCAAGGGCTTAATATTCATATTAATATTTCCTTGGGAAAAGTTAAGCAAACACAGTATATTAATTCACTGAACCATCAAATAGACATTAAAAATTATAAATATAAGAATAGAAATATATAGAAAAGTATATACAAAATGACACTAGCTGATATTGATCAAGATTAAAAATACAACATAAATGTGAATAATTGTCAATTTTCTGCAACGTTATTTAAGTAATCAATAAAAATATCTTATGGAACAGTTGGTACATAATTGGCTCTTAATAAGTCTGGGATAATCATAACCTGCCCAGTATTCATTGAAAGAGTTACAGGGACTTCCCTGGTGGCACAGTGGTTAAGAATCCGCCTGCCGATGCAGGGGACACAGGTTCGAGCCCTGGTCCGGGAAGATCGCCTGCCGATGCAGGGGACACAGGTTCGAGCCCTGGTCCGGGAAGATCCCACATGCCACGGAGCAACTAAGCCCGTGTGCCACAACTACTGAGCCGGCGCTCTAAAGCCTGCGAGCCACAACTACTGAGCCCACGTGCCACAACTACTGAAGCCTGCGTGCCTAGAGCCCATGCTCCGCAACAAGAGAAGCCACCACAATGAGAAGCCTGCGCACCGAAACGAAGAGTAGCCCCTGCTCACTGCAACTAGAGAAAGCCCGCGCACAGCCAAAAATATAAATAAATAAATAAATTTATTAAAAAAAAAAAAAAGAGCTACAATAATTTACCAAACAGGAAATGCACCAAAATGTTAACAAGACTATGTCTGGATGGTAGGTTCAATGGTGATCTTATTTTTCCTTTCCATATTTTTTCATTTTCTATCATAAGTTTGTATTAAAAAACCCCAAACTTTATTTTTTAAAAGTAAATAATATACCACAAGCCGATTTGCCTTTCTTTTGTGGATACATAACAGAGATAGAAAGGTTAAAATATTTTTTCAGAGAATGCAGTGACAGATCAGGTATTTAAATCAGACTTCTGAATTGCTTCTTTTGTTAATAATATTAAGTTATTCTTTAAGGATACATTATTAGGGATACCCTGAGAAGAGGAAAAAATATGGATGTTATATGTCTGATTTTTCCAGAATATTAACTGACCTATAAGATTTATTTGATGATGATTAATACTATTGCTAATGAGCAAAAATTCTTCTTCCAGCACGTGTACTTCAAACCACTAACACCATTCTAACTGTTGGTCATGAAGATGATAGGGATTGTGCAATTGACTATATACATTAGAACTAAAGGTACGAGTGCTGACCGAAAATGGAGTACAGTCTTTTCAAAAGACAGCTATGTATTTTGCCATTGATATTCCATAACAGAGTCCATCTCAGAATTTTTGCTTCAGTGGAAAGGGAAAGAATTTTTTTAATTTATTTTTATTGAAGTAGAGTTGATTTACAATGCTGTGTTAGTTTCTGGTGTACAGAAAACGGATTCAGTTTTATATATTCTTTTTCATATTCTTTTCCATTATGGTTTATTACAGGATATTGAATATAGTTCCCTGTGCTATACGGTAGGACCTTGTTGTTTATTTATTTTGTATATAGTAGTTTTTATCTGCTAATCCCAAACTTCTAATTAGCCCTCCCCTAACCCCTTTCCCCTTTGGTAACCATAAGTTTGTTTTCTGTGTCTGTGGGTCTGTTTCTGTTTTGTAAATAAGTTCATTTGTGTCATATTTTGATTCCATATATAAGTGATATCATATGGTATTTGTTAGGGTAAGAATTTTAAATGGGAAGGAACCAACATTCATTAAGTGACTTCTAACCACCAGGCACTGTCCTATTCTTTTGTATATATGGTTCATTTAATCTTTCCAATAATCTTAGGTAGTAGGAATTATAACCTTCATTTCACGGATAAAAAATCAAGTCTCTGAAATGTTAAGAGATTTGCCTAAGGTGTCACAACCAGCACATACTAGAGCCAGGGTTTTAATTCATGTCTTGCTAATTCCAAAGCCTGTACTCTTTATACAATACTGTCCCCCAGAACGTTTACAAATCCAGAATCTTTAAAAAAAAAAAAAAGTTAGAATAAAGCCATAGCGCTTAAGACTATGAAAGTTCATTATGAAAATATGAAGGTCATTTAACCCAGAGTACCTAGTCATCACATTCCAACCAGGACATTACCTCCAATTCCAAGGCTTCTGAGAGTAATTTCTGGGCGTTTTTCCTAAATGTCTCGGTTTTGGAATCACTTCGGACTTCTATAGAAGGTCTATCCTTGTGTTTTTCAATGAAAGTTCTCCACTCAGTGTAAACTTCTCTGGCAAGACAAGCCACTTCTGAATCTGAGTGTTGACGCATCTTGTTCACAGTGTGACCTGGAACAAGAGAACAGAAACCAAAGAAAAGGTTGTTCTGTATTCTTCTGAAAGGTACAGAACTGGAAGGACTAATGTGTGGCACTTAGCAAGTCATTCACACACCTAAGGATGTAAAGGCTCTTGTGCAAATGAAGACCTGTTTCTCAAAGATAACAAGATAATCACTGGGGGAGAATCACTGGGCTAGCCAATGAAATAAGTCATAAAACAGAAGCACGATACTTAAAATGGAACACCTAAAGTACCAACTCCTTAATCCAAAAATTGCAATAGAAGAAAATGAATTAAGCATTTATCTTGTCTTTTCAGTACATATTATATTTCAGGACAACCAAACAGTCCTAGTTTTTGACAGAATATTCTTTATTCAGCTAATAAATGTGATAAAATTGACAGAATTTAAAAAATTTTTGTGGCCCATGATGAAATAATTCATTCAGGTGACAATCAACAGGGGATGAAATCAGTCAATGAAAAGTTGATGGGGACAATGGTACAATGGAAAAATGAGGTGTCATCATCTCCACGGATCAATCTTAGCATCCCTAAGAGTGGCACTATCAGATAGAGGTAGCACTTCACAGCCCTGCCCATGAAGTAGTCTTACACCCTCCTCCCAAGGAAAAGATGAACCATAACCCTAGTAACTAGTCGTTCAAAGCTAACCTCCAGTTTATAGAAAATATGAGAGACAGAGGAATAAGTTAAATTACAGCGTAAGAAACAAATCCAGAATGTGGGACATTCTGCAGGACAACATTCAATCATCAACGGCACTTTTAAAAAAAGGGAGTAAGGTTACGGATTGCTAAAGATTAAAAGAGTCTTTTGAGTCCAAACTATCAAATGTGATGTGTGATCCAAATCCTGACTGGAATAAACCAATTAAAATATATTTTGATATAAACAAGAAATACGAATATACACTGGTTATTAAATTATATCAAAGAATTATTGTTGATTTTGTTGAGCACGATGATGGCATTGTAGCTATGTAAGAAAAGATCCATATTTTTTAGAGATGCACACTGAAGTATGTAGAGCTGTAATGACAAAAGGTCTGAGATTCTGCTTTAAAATACTTCAGTAACAGCACAAAAACACAAAAAAGGGAAAGATAAAGTGAATGCGACCAAACCTTAATAGTTACTGAATGTAGGTGAAAGGCCTATGGGGGTTTGTACTATTCTCTTTATTTTTGTGAATGTTTGAGATTTTCATAATAAAAATGGAAAAAGAGGAAAGGGTCAAAAAATATCATATGCAAAAGTACTTAGATAAAAATAAACACATAGAAAAGCAAAAGAAATCAAGTAAACATTTAGAATTAAAGTTCAAAAAGTATTAGAATATAAGGTAAGTATACTTTTAAAAACAATCGATAGCTTTTTTATGTCAGCAATAAACAGTCAGTATAATAGGGGGAAAATCATGCTTAAACTAGTAAAAACCATAAACCACTTAGCAACTCATTAACAAGAGGGGGTTGCATGCCCATGTGCTGTTTGTGTATGTGCCTATCTCCTTAATAGCTCTGGAACCACTCTTAAACTCCATCCCCATCACCACTGACCTTGCCTTAGGGCATGTCGCCTCCAGATGACTCCAGCAGCCTGACTGGCCTCTCAGCCAAAGTCTGGAACCCTTAATGCCACCTTCCACACTGCAGCCAGAGTGGCCTTCATTTAACTTTATTCGTTTCTCTTTCAGGGATATTTTTTAAAACATTAATCTGACCATTACGGTCCACCGCTTAAATCTTTCAATCCTATATCCAAATTCTTGTCTAGTCACACAAGTACCTTCACTATCTGCCACCCTCCCACCTACCTTCTAGCTTCACTTCCAGCTATTACCCCACCGTCATCGATCCTCCAGCTACCTGCAGCTCCTAAGACACTTCAATAGTTTTCTCACCTCTTTACTTTTGAACATATACTCCAATGAGCATTTTGTCTGCCTGGAATATTCCTTCTTCTCTCTTCATCTGGTTAACTTACATTCTGCCTTTAAGACTCAGTCCAGGAGTCCCCTTCTCCAGGAAGTCTTCCTTAATATAATAACCCCCAGTCTTGGCTGGTACCTCTCCTCTGTGCTTCCTTAGCACCTCATGCTCCTGTTCATCACAATAACTATTATAATTAGTTGTAATTATCTGATCAGTTATCTCTCTTGCCCACCAAAGAGAGCTCCTTGAGGGCAAGAGCTGTGACACGTTTATCTTTGGATCTCCAGCAGAAAACAGGGGCAGGAGAGGGGGTCGGGAGAGTGGGTGTTTGGTAAATGTTGGGGAATGAGAAACCCAGATGAGGAAATACATATGTTTTTACTAAAATATGTAACAGAAAATTTGAATGAAAGGGGAAAATATACCATATTATATGATGGAAAGACCAGTACAGAGATGTCAATATAGAAATTAATTTGTAGATTTAATGTAATTACAATAAAAAAATCTTAGTAGGCTGCTTTTATTAGAATACATCCAAATAGCTTTAGACTTATTTTAGAAAAACAAATGGGTAATAGCATAAAATACTCTTATGTATTATGAGGTATAACTAGCCTTATATGCTATTGGAACATATTATAAAGCAACTAAAATTATATGGACTGGCACCAAAACAACAGATGGATAGATCTGTGGAATAAAAAGTGAAGCTCAGGGGACTTCCCTGGTGGTGCAGTGATTAAGAATCCACCTGCCAATGCAGGGGACACGGGTTCAAGCCCTGGTCCAGGAAGATCCCACATGCTGCAGAGCAACTAAGCCCGTGCACCACAACTACTGAGCCGATGTGCCACGATTACTGAAGCCTGCACGCCTAGAGCCCGTGCTCTACCAACAAGAGAAGCCACCGCAATGAGAAGCCTGAGCACTGCAACAAAGAGCAGTCCCTGATTGCCACAACTAGAGAAAGCCCGTGCGCAGCAATGAAGACCCAACGCGGCCATAATTAATTAATAAGCTCAGGAGCAAACCCTATTGTATATAAAAATTAATATATAATAAAAGAGGCATCAATGAACAAAAGGAAATGGAAAAGAATTCAATTTTGGGAAAATGGTCAAAACATTTAGAAAATTTCTCAGATCACACCAACTGCATAGCTCAACACTTGCTTGATTTATTTACTCCTCACATGTCGACTGAAGGCCTACTCTTTGTACTAGGTACGTTAGGTACTAGTCATGCAGGGCTGAACAAGAAACTGTCCCTGCTTTAAAGGTTCTGTGAAGAGCATCCTGGAAGTAACTTTGAAGGGAAGACAAGATTCTTTAACTTCTCTCTCTATCCCATTATCTCCCAGGAATTTTTATCTAGTCTTTCTACTGACCAGGGAAAGAAGTACATCAACACTCATCACAAGGAGGAAGGTGAAGGGGAGGCATGCAGAGCCCTCATTAGAAATATCTCAAGGTGCTTCCTAGTTAGCGATGCTTAGTGAGGTGCTTCTGAAACACATGCCACTTAAAGCTGAAGTCACTACTCAACACTTTCCTTTTCTGGCTGGAGTTCTCCATATCCTTGAGATTATTCATTCAGAAAACAATTTTTTGTGCTGTTGGTCACTGTTGTAGATGGTAAAAACACAAAGGTAAATGAGACACTGCAGGACCTCAAAGACCTAAATTCAGGGCATTTTAATACTTTTACAGAGCACCTACTTAATGCCTGGTGCTGAGGATACAGACATGAATGAGACACAGTCCCTGGAATTTAACCTACACTCACCCTGCCAAAGTGTGCAAAGAAGATTTATGTATAAAAATATTCATTACAGTACTGTGTACAGCAGCAAAAAGTTAAAAACAACCTACAAGCTCACCATTAAGGGTCCAATTTGTTAAATGAATTATAGTCCCTTCAAACAATGAATACTTGGCAGCCATTAAAGACTGCAATAGCGGGCTTCCCTGGTGGCGCAGTGGTTGAGAGTCCGCCTGCCGCTGCAGGGTACACGGGTTCGTGCCCCGGTCCGGGAAGATCCCACATGCCACAGAGCGGCTGGGCCCGTGAACCATGGCTGCTGAGCCTGCGTGTCCGGAGCCTCTGCTCCACAACAGGAGAGGCCACAGCGGTGAGAGGCCCGCAAACCCCAAAAAAAAAAAAAAAAAAAAAAATACAGGTAAAAAAGACTGCAATAGCTCTACATGTAGTAACATGGAAAGATGATTACTTTACTCAGGTTCTCAGAAGAGCATGCGCAGTATAAGCCAATATTTATTTTTAAAATTACATTTGTGTATATATATATATATATATATATACATATATATATAAACAAACACATATATTTGTTTATACACAGAGAAAAAGAGTCTAAAAGAATTTATAATGAAATTATTAACAAGGGTCTCCTCTGAGCAGTGGGACTGTATGTATCTATGCAGTTCAGCTCACAATCTCATGGGCTGGCTCAACCTGTAAGCAATCCTAACAGCACGGGATATGCTATACCAGAAGTGCATTCAGGTTTCTTTGGAATAGAGATCCTTCCCTTCATGTGTTCCCCACCTTATCCTTTTCTCTCCCCAAGACAGGCACCGTTGACCCACCTTTATATACAAGAAATGAAGATGCACAAGTCCCACAGAGGGTCCTTCTTCTTGTCAAATCCAATGGACCTTTTCCATCGTGACATTACTTGATACCTCTGTGGCATCTGTCACTGCTGCCTTTTTCCTTCTGAAATATTCTCTTCCATTGCTTTTTGAGATATCACCTGTTACTTATTCTCCTCTTCCTTCTCCATCTCTTCTGCTGGCTGTACATGCCTTGGCCAACCTTTAATTACCTGTGAACCCCAGCTGGGACATTGTCCTTGGCCTCTTCTCTTCTTTCTTCACCTGTTTTCCCTGAGTAATCTTACCCACTCCTGTGGTCCAACTACCATCTGCAAGCAGCTGACTCCCAAATACGTATCTCTAGCCTAAAGGCTCTCACTGAGCACAATACCCAAATATCCAGTCCCCTACTGGACATCTCTACCTGC